GTACACTACAGCACCCACCATCATGTCATACTTATCTACTAAAGGCATGTTGATGTTATAGTCCATCACAATCTGGCTTATAGATTATTTGTTGTTATTCTGTTTACCTTACCACTGTCCATCATTGTACCAGGGCGAATGGTGGTCAGTATGTTCACCTCACGTCTGTCTTTCCACTGGACTGAAATAATTCCACCACTTTTTCTTACCTCGCACTCACCTACTTGCATAGCAGTGTTAAACACAGGCATTTCCCTTCGTTTTGTCATTACTGTGCCCCACACACTCCAGTTCTATTATCAAGCTATCAAGCAAGAACCTGGTTAGTAAGGGACTGGTATAATAGTTATGTGTACAATATGTAGCCCTTGTTCAGATATAGTGCAAGCAGTGCCTTCACCATACTACCTGAGAAGCCATGTTGATCATTAGCAGGAATGTCTACATTTATAGCCTAATACAGTATCATGTGTAACACCATTCCCGATTCACAGTCACAGAGCACAAAGAATTTCAGTCCAAATCGTTGGTGTTTTGAGGGAATATACTGCTTGTAAGCAGCACGTTCTTTGAAAAGCTCAAGGGATTCATCAATACCAGCTTCTGAGCTGGTACGTAGAAATCTCTGAACTTTCCAAAAAGGTCATTTGGCATGTGCCTCACCCTCCAAAGCCTATCATATTGTCTGTTATTTGCATTACTGGTATTTGCAAAATGAAGACACTGTAGGAGTACTGTATCAGAAATCGGTCTCGATACATATATTTCGTGAACAATAGTTTTGGAACAGTGTTGTCTTTGCTCCAATAATGAAATATTGTGTTTTTCACACAATGTTTCATCAACATACTTGGTTGATACCTGGTTGATGGGGTTCTGGGAGGTCTTCTACTCCCCAAGCCCGGCCCAAGGTCAGGCTTGTGGCAAAAAACACATACAGTTCACCCAGTCATCTCTTTCCAATGCTGTAATCGTGAAAATTCCGATACATCCTCACCTTCAATGAGATAAGCCTGTTTGTTTCGTGAACAATGTTTCATGAGCGGCTCATGAAAATATGCAGTGAAAAAGTCCATTTTACTCATTTCGTCACCTGTACAGTATCAGGGAAAAGATCTGTTATCCCCCACATCTTTCTTGACAAAGGTGGGAGTTTCTGGAACAAAATCTTGCCCATCACTACACACAAATAAATCTGCTGTCTTCTGAGAGGCAACAGCTACACCATGGCGAGGAATCTGTGGAAAAATAAACAGGGAACTTACAAACATTCCATGGGAAACTGTTCTAAGTGATACAAGTCCTACAGAAGGAATAGGAAACTGACTTCGGAAGCGTATCAAGTCTGTCTGAAACATGTTCCTTTGAGGAAAGCCAGAAAGAGATCCAACGTAGAAAGAGAACGCAGACGACACTATAAAAGACGGAAAAAAATAGCGGAAATGCTTATGCAGACACAAATTTCCTGTCAAAGAAGGAATAATTTAAATAGGGAGATTGAAGAAATCGAGCGGAAATTGAAAGACTCGTATCAAACTGAAGAAAGGCAGTTAGAACAGAAAGCAATTCAGGAAATAAAGAAAAATCCCAAATACTTCTTCACATATGCGAAATCAAAAGCAAAAACCACTGCCAGTATTGGACCTATTCGTACAAGTGAAGGTTCATACACGGAGGATGACAAAGAAATTAGAGAAGTCCTAAAAAAACAGTATGAGGACATGTTTAGCACTCCAATAAACAACATGAAAGTGAAGATCCAGACAATTTCTTTATGCGGGATATCCAAACCCCTGTAAATATAACTGTTATCAACATGAGCGTACTAGACTTTGAAAGAGAAATTGAAAACATGCCCATGCACTCGGCCCCGGGTCCAGATTCATGGAATTCAATATTTATAAAGAAATGCAAAGTGCCAGTAGCACAGGCACTCAGTATAGTGTGGAGGAAGAGCTTGGACATGGGGGGAGATACCAGATGCACTTAAAGTAGCAGACATAGCCCCTCTACACAAGGGAGGGAGCAAAGCATTGGCAAAGAATTATAGACCAGTTGCACTACCATCGCACACCATAAAAGTATTTGAGAGAGTGATTAGGAGTCAGGTCACCAATTTCATGGAGACCAATGACCTTTAGAACCCAGGCCAACATGGATTTCGAGCGGGAAGATTGTGCCTCTCACAGCTACTTGATCACTACGACAGTCACTGAGGCATTAGAAGAAAAACAGAATGCTGATGTGATATACACGGACTTCGCAAAGGCTTTTGATAAATGTGACCATGGTGTGATAGCACACAAAATGAAGTCAGTGGGAATAACCGGTAAAGTAGGACGCTGGATACTCAGTTTTCTGTCAAACAGGACTCGGCAAATAACAGTCAACCATATAAAATTGAGTCCAAGCGCAGTTAAAAGCTCGGTACCTCAGGGTACAGTCCTTGCACCACTGCTTTTCCTTATTCTCATATCATATACAGTATAGACAAAAATACAAGTCACAGTTTCGTATCATCCTTTGCAGATAACACAAAAATCAGTATGAAAATTACTTCGGCTGAAAACATTGAAAAACTTCAAGCTGATATTAATACATTTTTTGACTGGGCATCAGAAAATAACATGATGTTTAACAGTGATAAATTCCAGGTACTCGGGTATGGCAAAAATGAGGACCTTAAACATAATACAGGGTACAAAACACAATCAAATATGCCCATAGCAGGAAAACAGCCTGTAAAGGATTTGGGAATAATGATGTCTGACGACCTAACGTTTAGGGAGCATAACCAAGCAAATATTGCGTCAGCCAGAAAAATGATCGGATGGATTACGAGAACTTTCAAATCCAGGGATCCCATCACAATGGTTGTACTCTTCAAGTCACTTGTGTTGTCCCGTCTTGAGTACTGCTCAGTACTCACTCCCCCCTTCAGAGCAGGAGAGATTGCTGAAATTGAGGGAACACAAAGAACATATACGGCACTCATAGATGGGATAAAGCACCTTAATTATTGGGATCGTCTCAAAGCCCTCCAAATGTACTCGCTAGAAAGAAGGCGTGAGAGATATAAAATAATATACACGTGGAAAATACTGGAGGGCCAAGTACCAAATCTACACAGTAAAATAACAATGTACTGGAGTGAACGATATGGAAAGAAATGCAGAATAGAACCAGTGAAGAAAAGGAGTGCCATAGGCACCATCAGAGAACATTATAAACATCAGAGGTCCACGGTTGTTTAACGTCCTCCCAGCGAGCATAAGAGATTTTGCCGGAACAATTGTGGACATTTTCAAGAGGAAACTAGGTTGTTTCCTCCAAGGAGTGCCGGACCAACTGGGCTGTGGTGGGTATGTGGGCCTGCAGGCTGCTCCAAGCAACAGCCTTGTGGACCAAACTCTCACAAGTAAAGCCTGGCCTCGGGCCGGGCTTGGGGAGTAGAACAACTCCCAGAACCTCATGAACCAGGTATCAAGAAAATAAATACTTTATAATATTTAATGATAAAATTCAATTACAATTTACTCCTACAAATAAAAATTAATAGTGAATAATTAAAGACAAAAAAAAATCCCTTGATCACTTGGCTAAAACACAGTCAAAAGAAAAATGTATACAAGTGAAGTTACGTTACTGACAAAAGGTGAAATATGACTTATACAATGTGCTCTGAATGCCAACCGTCACCAGTTCGTTGGAACGTCAATGTAAGGGCAGATACAGGCGAGGTTGGAGCACCAGATGGTTTCTGCCTGACTGAGCTGCTGGCCTGGATATACAGTATATACAGGTGGTGATGTCCCACTGGCGCGAATCGGAGTCTTGACGAGGAACCAGCAGTATAACGACAGTCATGATAATTTGTTTGGGGAGCTACAAGACGGCACGTGTGCGGCTCGTGGAAGATTGGGCGGGGGGGGGGGGGGAGAGACTGGACAATATGTTTTGGCACATTGTTGGTGTCTCTTGATATTGAACCTTGATTTTGGAGCATGCGGATATTAAAGTTGTAAGGAACAGGCAGAATCTACTGCGGTGCAGGTGATAACCGTAACACTTGCAGTGTAACACATGAACTATGTGCTTGGGTGCAAAGTGGTGTTGAGTGGTGATGAGTAGTAACTGGTGACACTCTTGGCATCCTCACCCTCGTGGCACCAACTTGTTCACTCTCACTATCCGTTGTTTCAATATCCTCAGGCTGTGTATAGTCCTCATCTACATCTGAGTCATCAATATCAGGTTCATCAAGGTCGTTGAACAATTCACTAGTAATTTTGTCTTTGGTAAATGACGCGCGGTGCGCTGAGTGAAGCATCGCACATCACAACCCCACGCTGGGTCGTGATGCGCTCGCCATTGTGTGTGGTTGGTAACTAAGGCCTGTGAGACAAGGAGGCCTGCACTAGATTTTTTTTCAAGATGGCATCTGTTTACAATCGCCCCCTGGCTACGTTATGGGTGATCCCTTTACACAGTGGGCCATTTGAATCGTGCCCAGCATCCTATGTCGTATATGTATGCCATGTGCATGGTGGGACATGTTACTCCGATTGTATATGTATATGCCATGCGCAGTTTAAGGGTTAAGGAATAATGGTGATCACATCCCTGATTGTGACACTCGGTTGAAGGGTTAAACTAACCATGTTTATCTTTCAATGTTAGGTCAATTGTGCTCTGGGGTTTAGGGGTATATGACCAATGATGAAAAAGCTTGAATGAAATAACAGAAAAGAAGGATTGATCTGTATCAGCCATATTATGGCTGATATAGTTAATGTTCGTATAACTTTCAATTGAGAGGAATTACGAATGGTTCAGAGGCACAGTTAAACTCCAGTTTATAATGCATGTAAAGAGTGTCTTAGTAGAATTTTTATATGATTTCCTTATGTATTTTGTGGTCATAATAAAATGACATTTGTATTCCCTTAACATTTTACTTTGAAATAGTTTTTTAAATATTATTTATATTTGTTTTTCAGATAGTTGAAGATAGAGATGCAGGTGTAAGGTTGTGGTGGTGGTGCTGGAGGTGGGTTGTGGTGAAGTCATGGGCTTGTGCTTGTGTGGCGCTTGGTGCCGTTGACCAGGGACATGCCGAGCATCCATGAGACTATAGAGTCTGATGAGAGCTTCTCTTCTCTCGATGACGCCAACCAGGAAGAAGACCAAAACCATGACCAACAGCCGAGCCACAGCACTGCCACACAGTCTCCAGCAGTGAAGAGGTCTAAGAGCCAAAACCCGCCAGAACAAGACAAGGCGGGACACCGCAAGGGAGCGCCTCGGGGCTCCCCAGCAGACCCTCAGCAGGTCAGGGAGCCTCGAGCACTGGTCGAGTATTCCGACGTCAGTTCGGAAGCGTTCTCGGAGCCGGAGGCGGGCGAGATTACGGATAGTCCCAGCCACAGCCCCGTCATAAGCCCTTGTGTAAATCGACAGCGGCCTCGTTCTCCAGCTCGTGCACCTAGACTCAGCCCTCGTCCTAGTCCAGCATCATATAGTGCAAATCTTAGTAGGAGTCCTTCTTACGTCCCACGCACACCCCCTAGGCCTCCTCGCGAGCCTCTTCACAGTGACGGAGAAGTTGAAGCGTCTCCTGCAGCTTCACACCACACTCCACACATTTCCCGCCCACTTGTACCTTATCCAGTGGTCATGTCCCCAGATCGCCGTTCTTTAGAAACACGAGGAGAATACTATCGCTCTAGAGAACCATACCACCATTCACGCACTCCATCTGAATCGGAGAGAGACCATTCTCGATCCAGAAAAAAGGAGCACAAAAAAGACAAGAAAAGAAAAGAAAAGAAACGGAAAAGATCTGAGAGGTCACACAGCCCAGTACTGCATAAGAAAAAGAAAAAGAAAAGTAAGCACAAATCTAGAAGTGGTAGTCCAGAATTTGATGGAGCGGTTGTGGATGGCAGTGTAGTTAGTTCCGATGATGACATTTCTGAAGCCATCATTATTAAAAGTGTTCCAAGAATTATCCCTAGTCATGATTCAAGAGCACCTGTTGCACCAACTAGGGTAAGAAATCGTGGTGAAGAGCCCAGTCCTCTTAGTTCCAATGAAGAAATTATAGTTAGTCCTCAACCCCCTCCTGAAGCAAATCACACCCGTGGTAATGAGCTGCGGAGAAGCACGCCACCTCACTCATCACACAGATCCCGTGAGCGAACTCCCACACACAGATCACCACCACCCAGATCGCCTCACACACCTAGCCCAACCCGCCATCGTGTTGCTCGACACATGACCCCGCCGCCGCCTCAGCCATCAACAACTAGTAAGAACTATGAACGTTCTACCCGGGCACACCACATAAGCCCACGCAGGCCATCTACGCCTCCTCTTCCAAGTCAGAGACGTGGAAACATGACTCCACCATCCAGAAACTCTCCTAGACGGGCAGTTTCTCATCGTGCGCATACCCCTCCCCCATTGTATGCTAGAAAGAGGTCTCGCTCTCGAAGCCCAATTCAGTACATTGAGATACGGGGTAGCCCAGAAACTCCACCTCATACCAGTAGTAGATATTATGCAGCAGCATCAACCTCACGTAAAGAAGAAAAAAAGAAAAAGAAGAAAGAGAGAGAAAGAGAATATCATTCACATGGTCGAAGAAGCAGAAGTAGAAGCCGGAGTGTCAGTAGGAGTCGCAGTAGGAGCAGGGGACAGTCGCCAAGGTCAGTAATTGTTTTATTCCGTATGTTTTATGTACGTGGAATCTTCTCTTAGACTGACTTTCAATCGGACTTTTCAGTATTTTCTGCATTTCATTATTGTGCAGGAAACTTCAAGATTAGGCCCATAGCAATAACTGATGAATGGTCCATTGTCAGTTAACTGTGGGATATCCTTGATGGACCATTCTTTCCATCGTCTGGCATAAGCAAGGTTTTTGATGTGTATGGATTCATCTGTTTTATGTGGTTTTGAAATGGGAATGATAGGGGCTTTCTTAGATTAACCTAACAGTCTGCTTTACTTGAAAGATAGATAAATATTATCTATCACTGGGGGGACGTTGTACCTCTGAATCGTCGACAAGTATAGGTATAGGCGTTTTATTGCCGTTAAGACATTTAGTGTCATGTGACTGTTACTTGCTGGTACTGTTGATTTATTTTTCTGGATAGTTGTAATAATTTCAAGGATGTAGTCAGTGACTCTAAGAAGACTTAAGTGTGTCCATTTGATGTTTAAGTCTCATTTCACAACGATATTTAGATTAAAACTTATGTTTAATATTACTGTACATTGTAAATTGTTATATGTAGGCACATTCTACCAATTTCAGAATAAATGTTCAAATTGTTTTTTAGAATTGTGAAGAGCTACTTTACTTTTATCCTCCTGGTGATCTAATCATTTTCTGCCAAAGATGTTAGACTGGTAGACTGTTAACAGTTGGTAGATGTTACTGTGGTTGTGGCAAATTAAACTCAAATGCCATCTCGGGTCAGTTCGACGGTTCTTTTAAATCTCAATATTGTACATTGTCTTCATTGAATGGAGCCTCATGAAAATGTACTATTGCTTCTGTTTATATATACTGTATACAGTACAGCTATAGTATACCACTTCCTGTCTTCATGTACAAAGTAGTCATTAATAACATTATAACCATCTGGAATTTTTTTCTGTGGTTTGTGGTGCTTTGGTAATGTGAGAGGTGGACGTAAAATGTTTTCCATTTCACGACATAGGTTATAGTGTTGAACACTGTCGTATTTGGTGGTGGGTAAGTCGACGTGCTGACTGGTGATGGCATTTTTGACGAATCACTGAGACTGGACGGTAGAATGAGTTTTGCTTCTTGCAGACCAGCGTTCAAATCCCAATTGTTCGTGTGATTGGGCACCATTTTTTTTCCCTATGTCCTATCCCCAAATCGTTATATAGTCGTAACAGCTTGGTGCTTTATCCTTACATACCTTACCTGGTAATTGCATTTAACATTCCATTGTGTTTGTATTTTGATTGTAGCACCAATATTCTTGGCATACTTCATTTACTATTTACAATGTTCTCTGTAAGGTGACTGTCACTGGGAATACTGAAGTATTGTGGTACTGGTAGGGGGGTTCCCACTTGTCACTGTCAATACTCTTAATAACTTGTGTTGAGCATCAATGGATGTTGATTGTATTATGGTAGTCAGTTGTTTTGTTGCCCAGTACTGTATTTTCAGTCACACCTAACTGTCTTGTGGAGTTAGCAGGTACAGTATTTCATGGCAAGACCTGTTAGTGTATTTACCTAGTTGTGCTTGCCGGGGGTTGAGCTCTGCTCGTTCGGCCCACCTCTCAACTAGTGTGCTCCTGTCACTGTGACTATCACTGCTGCTTTCATTATCACCGATTTGAAAGTCGGTTACATATTCTTGTGTTTTCTTTTTGGTCTTAATTTGTTACCAGATTGGTGCATATATTTTCTCTTTAACATCAGGAAGGTTTCTGAATTACAGCCAGAGCAGTGGTGTATGTGTGACCATTGTGACCTGAACCGGGGCTGGTGGGCGAGGCGTTACGTTTATACACAGCTGACCTCACTTGACGGACATTGAATGTTTTTGTAATGTTTGATGATTGATTTTAAACGCTGTCTTTTTTAACCCTTAGCCAGTGGCTATGGAGAAATGGTCATACCCGCTTATGCACAAAAAATTAAACAAATTCCACCAAATAATTTTTCATTACAGAATTATTAATTTGTATACAAAATGAAAGAACACACAAAATAAGTGAATATTTATTGCTTCACTGGGAGGAGGCGCTCTGCAAGGCTGCGTCTGGTACTTGTCAACACCTGGTGCTGGACCTTACTGACACTTCCTGTTTTATCCTCCGTTGTTTCACTGGTGGTTTTATCACTGGTTTTTCTATATTTACATCCACAGAGAGCTTTCATATCCATATTTGCATCATACATGTAAAACACAGACAATAATTGTTTAAGCTGTCATATAACAAGGACTGCGTTCATAACTGCATTTGTACCATAAAATGGTAGCAGAATTTATTTCAAGGATCAATTCAAACTCCATTGCATCCACATAGATCCATTATATCCATATTTGCATCATACGTGCAAAACCCAGGCAATAATTGTTTAAATCTTCATTTGATGATAACTGCATTACCCTGTGAATCAATTATTGACAATATCTGCAGCCTGTAGGTTAATGTCTTACTTTTTTTAAATTGAGAAATGTTCATTGAGTGCTGCTCCAGTTTCCTGCGTATAGTGCAAGCATTGTTGGTGTTAACATGTACTGTACACAACCCGTCCTCTTAGAAATAACGTTGCTTTTGGCTCGTATGCGCGCTATGGCCGAAAGTGGACGAATTTGAAATTAAATCGGCTCACGAAAGTGACATACTGTCCAGTTTTCTGTTTGAGTCGTCCAGCGTACTCTGAAAGGTTAGGAGTGGAAACTTGACTAACGTTTTTCATAATGTCTTGAAACTTTATGAGAATTTCCTGCCCACCTAACCTATCAGAGGACCTTTAACTAACTGTTGAAAAAAATCCCAAATTTATTTTCATTTTTTTTTTCATTTTCAAATTACGTCCACTTTCGGCCATATGGGCCAACGGCCAAAAGCGACGTTGTTTTTAATTAAGAGGACAGGTTGCTGTACAGTATATTCTAATGTTCGTAACATCGTTCACCTTTAAGATTGGGGATGTTTCCGTTCATCTTTAAGATTGGGGATGTTTCCGTTCATCTTTAAGATTGGGGATGTTTCCGTTCATCTTTAAGATTGGGGATGTTTCACTTGCATAAACTTTGTCACAGTTACTGCTGGCTATAGTGTAAACCCCTGTCATAGTGACCTTATTAGTTTTGACATGCTGGACAATTTGTTCACAAATCCTAAATTGGCTTTTGCAAGTGTTGGTGATTTTTGCTATCTAAACTGTTGGAGGAATATGCTGACCTTTTGCCTCTGCTTTGTTTTACTCTTAATGATCTTTCCTAACCTTCTTAACTAACCTTTCTGCATTCTTTCTTGAAATACATGTGGTATAATTTAACTCATTTTAACTCATTTTAATTTAACTCATTTTAATTTTAACTCATTTAATGAGTTTAACTTTAACTTTTAATTTAATTTTAACTCATTATTTAACTCAAGGAGACTTTAAAGAACTTCAGAAGTGGGTAGATAAATGGCTGCTGGAATTCAATCCAAAGAAGTACAAAGTATGAAAATGGGTAAGGGGGGATAGGAGACCTGTATTTAACTATTCCATAAGGGGGGAAGGCAATTTCAAGAAACAGTAAGAAAAAATACATGGGAGTAGACATAATCCCATCACTAGCACCAGAAGCTTATGCAAGCAGGATAACATCAGCAGCATTTGGCAAGTTAGCAAACATGCAGGCGATGAGTCACAATAACGTGGCTGAAGTATGTTGACCAGACCACACACTAGAAATTGAAGGGAAATCGACTTGAGAATGGTCCAGGACGGACCGAAACGTCGTCGTCCCTTCAATTTCTAGTGTGTGGTCTGGTCAACATACTTTAGCAAACATAAGATTGTCTTTTAAGAATCTGAACAAGGAGCCTTTCAAGTTCATCATAATGCCTGTGTAAGACCATTACTTGAGTATGCAGCTCCAGCATGGAACTCATACCTTGTGAGTAAGTAACAGAAACTTAAGAAAGTTAACAGGTTTCAACTAGATTAGTACAAGAATTGAGAGACCTTAGCTATGCTGACAAGTTTACCTGAAGATTACCTGGGAGAGTGCCAGGAGTTTAGAACCCCAAGTTTGGCCTGGGGCCTCACATCCTTAAAGGAGAGAGGATACAGATGGGATATGATAACTATGTACAAAATCTTAAGGGGAATAGATTAAGTGGATAAAGGAACCCTATTTAACTTAGGACAAAGGGATATCGGTGGAAGCTGGCTATGCAAACGAGCCGAAGAGATGTAAGGAAGTTCTTGTTCCCTGTTTCGGGTGGTAGGAAAGTGGAATGCATTGAAGGAAGAGGTTGTTGAAGCCAACTCCATCCATGACTTTAACAAGAAATATGATAAAAATGTTGGGGCTAGGAGAGGTAATTTGTGTTCCAGGAATAAATGGCTAGGTGGTAGGGTACTTAGTGCCAGGTGGAAACATCATCATGACATCAACCAGGTGGAAACAAGCTCTCTTGTATCTGCTTCACTACTGTTGCTTCCACCATCACCACAAACAAACAAATTTGCTCCAATGTAACATTAAAGATCGTTCTCCATATGAACAACACTAGACTGGGACCGGTTTTCATCAAAATCGGATATGGCCACGTCGTTAGCTCGGCTTCGTGCCTGATCCTCACTCCACACGTCTATTCGTGCGGTGTTAGAGTACAATATCATTCTACAGTATAATAGATAATATTCATGTTGACAACTTGTAATATATATCAGATCTTACAGCTCCTGCTAAGTCCTTTCAATTTTGTATGGTGTCGGTGGTCCATAACATGGTCATGCTGCGTAGTCACTGGTTGGAAGATGATGTGTCAGATATGGTGTGCATCTATTTGCTAATTCTCAGAATGTAGATTAGGGCACTCAAGAGTTTCTTCCAACATGGTAGATGATCACCAGAGCCATCTAGGAATGGGTTATGTAACAGAAGATATGTTACAACTTATAAACAACTTGGGCTGTGTGA